TAAAACAAAGGCGTCCCAGTCGTTATAAATGTCATCATTAAAACGCATCCAACCCAACACATTGACAGCATCCCGATCTTTCTCACCCCAATTTCGATATCTTTCTTAAATTGTCCCCCAAAAGATGTTAAAAACTCGTATTCGTAACGAATGTCTTCCATTATGAGGTTAACTTTCTTGTAATTCCAGCACAAAACGAACGATTTTACTATCGTTACTAAATGGACGGGAAAAAAGATTAATTGTTCCAAGATTTCTTCGTAAACTCTTAAAGTATTTTTCAATTCCATCGCTTCCAACACAAATAGTTGTAGGGGGTGAAAAATTATTATTACGCTGTAGATTAAGTAGTACATTTTTGGGGGTTCGGTGTCGAAGAAACTAAAAATTCCCCCAACTTTAAACAGTTTTAAAATCGTTTGAAACATCTTGCATCAGAATTAACTTAAGATGTGGATTTTATGTATTCTTGAATCCTTTTTATACTAAACTACAAGTTTGATTGATGTTAAAATACGGAAATTATAATACATAAGTGGTTTTAAATAAAATAGTTTTACTTGTATCGATTTCTTTCTTTTCTTTACTTTCTTATTACAGCATAAAATTAGTAGGATTTACGTAGTAGTTACATCAAACTTCGCAAAGTTTTCTAAGTATTGCAAACGAGGGTCATTATTGAAAATACAGGAAAGCTAATACCAGGTTTTTTAAGATCTCTAATTATAAGAAATGAAAATGAATTGCTTTGCTGCGATGTATAGCAATCAGAAGAACCGAAATGAAATAGCACTCAATGTTTCGCCATTCTTTTTAGGTGTATTTTTAGGCAGAAGCCGTTAAATATTCCACCTTTCTTTAAGTTTCATATTTTTACAATACTTACAATATTTACAATATATGCATGCACCCAAACCCTCTACCCTCCTTCCCCATCTCTAGACCCTCGACTCGTCGCCCCAATTACCTCCCTCATTCATCTTTTGCCTCTGCCAAATTTTGCTTCCTCACCTCACTACACCCTCTCAGCATTTGTTCAAGCATCTCCCAATCCTCTTCACACAGCCTATACCACCTCTGCATATCGTCCACCCAGTACCTGTTCCCTCTCTCCTCATTGCCATAGCGGAATCTGGCCACCAATCTCTTCCTTTCCTCATCCCCCTCCATCAACAGATACTTTGGCAGTTCCTCTGTCACTATTCCCCCATACCTTACATTATATCTCCCTTCCCGTATCTGTAACCTTCTTTCCTGCCTCTGTATGTCCCTGTCCGCCTCAGTTCTCTCCACATTTCACCTCTCTCCACATTTCACCTCTCTCCACTCTACTGTTGTCGATCCCAGTTAGTGAATATCCCACTCTCCTATAATATTCTTCCCTATCTCCCTGCACGTATACCAACCTCCTCTCCTTGATTTCCCTCCAGCACTCTGCCAGGATCTTACAATGCGGTCTTCCTTCTATCCTTTTCTCGTACTTCACTGCTCTTCTCCTAGCCTTCACAGGAGTCTACAGTTTCCTGGAGTCTTCCTCGCTAATCCTAGTACCCATCTCCAATACCTTGTTTGTACATCCTGCAGCAATTTCTTGTTCTCTCCATCCCCATACTTCTGTATCGTACATCATTGCGCTCGTCATCAAGGCCTCAAACATAACCTTTTCCCACATCCCTCCCATAAGTTCTGTCCCCCCCATCCCCAAACCTGTCCCATCACCCTGTTCGTTCTTTTTGTTATCGCCCTCACGGGCGACCCGATCGTATTATCTCCGAGAACCCATATCCCAGGTCTATACTCTATATCTCTTGCCTGCCACCTCTATTCCTCTCTCTTTCTTCTCCCCCCCTCACAGAACTTCATGATCTTTGTCTTCTCGACGTTTACCTGCAACCCCTTTGCCTTAAAATATCTCTCCAGAGCCCTACAACAATTTCCTATCATCACCACCGCCTCTCTTGCCACGACCACCAAATCATGCCCATACGCCAAGTCGTGCACCTTCGTTCTTCCTATCACCATCCCACCCATCTGCCCTCTCCCAAGTTTCGTATACATCGCAAATCATGTGGGACTAAGCAGGTACCCTTGTCTCAATCCCTTTAAAGTAAATACACTCACGTAAATTTAACTAAAATAAAAAGTGTAATGAGTCTTCAACAATACATTAGCCTAACTTAGTTTAGTCCTCGTATTTCGTCAAATCACCCCGGTTTTAGTCCGTATTCAAGCCTTTTACTTCCGATACACGTTTTTCCACATCCACCGCGCACGGTCTCCCGTAACCGACTCTCTCAATCTTATTCAAACCTGTTCGTTTTCTAACGTCTCGAAACTTCTCCGAACGCCCGGGAATTACTGCCACCGCCACACTACGCTCCGCACTACCAACCCAAATTCTCACGCACACAAAATATCCCTAACACCTTCGTCTCCTTTTAACCTTAAGGTTATCACTTTAAACTTGGCCATCGTCTCCTTCAATCTCTCTATCAGCTGTTCTGTGATAGGTCTCCTCCTCATTTCCTCCCACACCTTCACTCTATCCACCTTATTAAATGCCGCCTTTCTAGGTCTATAAACAATGCATACAGCTTTCCTACTTTCTTGTTCAACTCCCTATCTGCCAGATCTTTCAGTATGTATATATTGTCAATTGCCCCTCGTCCCTTCCTGAATCCTTCCTGCCCATACGGCAACATTTCCTCTATCTCGATTTCCTTTTTCAATCTCCCCAGCAGTACCTTGTGTTATATTTTAAATGTTGTGTCCAACAGGGTGATCCCTCTGTAATTGTCCACGAACACTTTACTCCACTTTTTATACAGTGGGCATATTATCCCCATCCTCCACCTGTCCGGAAACCCCTCCCCTCTCCATATGTGTTATCTACTCTCCCCCCTGCATCCCCAGCTCTCCCTCATCCATTCTTCTCTCTTCCTCCCCTTCCAACAATCCCATAAAATAGGTTCTCCATTCCGTCATTTGTATATCTCTACTGACTTCCTCTCTTCCCTTCCTCATCTTCTTTAAGTATCTGCATACATCATTTTCCTCTTTTAACTCCATAATTTTCTCAGCCTCCTTGTTCTTTTTCTTGCATTTTTTTTGTATCTTCTCCTAGCCTCTGTATATCTATCTATCCCTACCTCCCTTCGCTAGCACTGTCTCAGTCTCCTTCTAGGTACCCTCGTCGCTTCTCTGCATTCCATATCCCACCACTCGTTCCTTCCCGGTTTCTGTCCCCGTCGCCAGACTTCAATCAAACAATCTATTGATATAAAATGTATTCAATGAATCTAGTCATTTCCGTCTTATTATTTTTTTCTCTAAAGTTAATATTGAAATCGACCATTAGATATAGTTGCTTCGCCAATAATTCGTTATCTAAATTGTCCATTTATCTTTCAAGCTGCACTAGGAAAACATTAAAATCACCCGATGGCGATCTATAATAGGAAAGAAGAAGTTCTGAAGGAAGAATTTCAAAATGCCTCCGAATAGCAAAAGTTTTGATATCAGCTCATTTTCGTTCATTACTTCATCCCGTACCAGAGTCATCACGCATCCATGTTGCAAATTCTGTTTGTAAAAACATGATGTCACTTTAAAATATTTTAACATTATCTTAATAGTTTCGTCTCTCTAAAGCCAATGCTCCGTCAGACCAACTATATCGATTTTGTGGCTGTTTAAGACATTTGCAAACCTTCTAGTTTATTTGATAAAGATTTTCATAAAATATTCTGATTCTGACGATGTTCCTCTCTCAGTATTAGTGGCTAATGAAGGACAGTATGTTGGCAAAGATAAAAAACTATTTGGTATAAAAGCTACCCTACGAGTAAATCTACTAAGCCCAGAAGCAAAAATATAATAAAAATACTACCAGGACCAAAACAATGCGCAAGGGATATAACCGATGAGATAAGTGCTTTCCCAAAAATGTTCAATGATGAAATGGTTGAACATATTATTCAGTGTACTAATTTGGAAATTTCAAGAGTTCGACCAAACTTTGATCGAGTACGAGACGCAAAGGACGTTACAAAATCGGAAATGCTAGCTTTTATAGGCTTATTGTTTTTATCTGGAGCTAAGAAGCAAAACCACACTCATTTTTTGGAGTTATGGACAAAAGATGGAACGGGATCAGAAATATTTCGAGCATGCATGAGTTATCAAAGGTTTCTTTTTTTGCTTGCAAACATTAGATTTGATAACAAAATAACAAGGCATGAAAGAAGACAAATAGATAAGTTGGCAGCAGTGCGGTTTATTTTGGACAAATTTGTGAATAATTGCAAAAAAAACTACTCTGTGGGTGAATTTATGACAATAGACGAAATGTTGATTGCGTTTAGAGGGAGGTGCAGCTTTGTACAGTACATACCAAACAAACCTGCTAAATATGGTTTGAAGGTGTTTGTGTTTTGTGACGCACAAATATTTTACGTGAGTAATCTGGAGCTGTACTGTGGAAAACAACCAGTCAAACACACCAACTGCCATAGTTCACCGCTTGCTGGACGAACAGAAAGGAAGTAAAAGGAATTTAACCTGCGATAATTGGTATTCAAGTTACCCTTTGGCATTGGAACTGTTACAAAACAAAATAACATTTATTGGAACCCTAAAAGAAATAAACGGGATAAATTTCCTAAAAACTCTATCTCTGTCGCTGATGAAAACTCATCTTTCTGAAAGAGCTGCAATATCTACTCTACCCATAGATATCAGACATTTTCTATCCAGATATAGAGAAGCTCAAGCAGACACACACGAAGAGCCACCGAGAAAATATAGAGGAAGATGCTTCATTTGCGGTAGAAAAAGGAACAGAGTGACTACAATTACATGCAGCACTTGTCACCAATTAGTATGTAAGGAACATAGTGTAAACGTAATTACATGCCAAAAGTGTAAGGAAGGCGGATCTAGTAGTGAATAGGCAAATTTTTTTTTGTGTTTTCAGAATATCTGATTTACTTTTTTTTTAATAATTTTTTTGGGTTTAATTACTGTTTTTTGCAAATAAATATGAACTTAAATATTGAGCAGTTGTTTTCTATACATATATTTACGACTTCTAGAACAAATAAAACTAAAAAAAAATAAATATACACCATAATGTGCAGTGGTGTACAAAATACACCGCGCGAGTAGCAGCGTAAAAAAAAGGTGCGCGAGTAGTTAAAGGTTAAAGGCAAAAGAAGTTGGTGTTGGCACTGAGGAACAAGCAGTAGATAACCTAACGATGAGTAGGAGTGAAAAGGACAGCGAGATAACAATTTCCAACAAATAGATGCCGAGAAACTTGTCCAAATTAAAAAAAACAACAAAATTAAAACAGGCACTGGAAACACAGAGTGGAAAGGATGTCTACAAATAGTGAGAGCAAAATGGGTGTAGGCTGTGCAGGCGTGAAGGGACGAAGTCAGATTGAAAACGAGCTGACGAAACAGACTGAACCACAGAAGAATAAGAACCAAAAACTTCGCGACAACGGGGTGTTACTGTTCTCATTAAGCCGACTTGATATAGCTGTGTGCCTAAAAATCAACGTGGTCTTTACACTTTATTTCCCAACAATTACAATTAGTTTATCAGTTACTTTTGACTGATACATATTTCCAACATTTCGAAAACAATGTAGTATAGATTCATTTACTGTCAGGTTTACTATCATCCATTCAACATCCCAGGTACCCAGATAGCATTATATTTCTTTAATATTTCTTTTATCTCATCATATCCTGTGCGGGACTATCCGGTGTCTGGATCGTTGTATTGTATACTGCTTATCGTTAGAATAGAAACGTTTCCGGTCACATTAGAACAAGTTGTAAACAAGTTATATAAATAAACAAATTGTTTATGAAACTAAGAAAGATTCAAGTCAATTACAAAAAATTATAAAAATTTACAAAGTGGTCAGGAGATTCCAGAAAATGATAGATTTCATATAAATCAACATGAATTTAATTTAGTAGTTATTCATAGGGTAGTGAAAATATTAAAAGAATTGCATGAGGGTCATTTCGGAGTTGTAAAAATGAAGGAATTGGCACGAGGGATTTGTTGGTGGCCAAATATTGATTCAAATACTATAGAAGAGTTGGTTAAGGATTGTACAAATTGTAGTTTAACGAGGAATAATTCATCTAAGGTAGAAGTTCATGTATGGGAATCGGCAAATAAACCTTTTCAAAGAGTTCATATTGATTTTGCTGGTACATTCATGGGGAAATATTTCTTTCTTTTGGTTGATGCGTTTTCAAAATACCCGTTTGTGTATGTTATGAACAATATCAAGACGGAATCAACAATTAAAACATATAGGAAGATCTTTTCAATGTTGGGATTACCGAAGGTTATAGTTTCAGATATTGGAACCACATTTCATTCACTGGATTTTCAGAATTTTTTGAAACAGAATGGAATTATTTCAAAATTCACAGCACCTTACCATCCGTCAACAAACGGACAGGTGGAAAGATTTGTACAAACGTTAAAGAAAGGTTTAAAAAATTTAAATGCAACCAATGAAAGTCTACAAATGAAATTGAATCAATTATTACTACAATACAGAATCATGCCACATCAACAAACGAAAGAATCACCTTTAGTATTGATGTTCGGAAGACGAATTAGAACTAAATTGGATTTGATACTACCTGAAGAGAAACCGAAGATAAGGGTAAATGACAATAAGAAGATTCGAACTTTCTCAGAAGGGGAAAAAGTGTTATGTAAGAATTACACAGGAAAAAGAAAATGGATACTAGGAAAAATTTTACACAAAATTGGAAAATTCCATTATAAAATCGAACTAGTTAACAATAAAATATGGAAGAGACATGTAGATCAATTAAGAAAATGTGGCCAGAATGTTAGAGAACGTGAAGAGTTAAATTTAGAAATAGATTATTATAGTATAGAACATGAACAACCGGATAGGACTGTAACGCAGGCTGAATCCAAACCACAAAATGATGCTGTTGAATCTGAATCAAATTAGAAAATGTTCCTATATCAGGCGAAATGAACGAAAGAGTACGTAGAAATGTAAAACTACATAATAAGTTTAAAGATTATTATTTGTATTAAATCGTTGTGCATTCGTTATTACCATGATTAATTTAGTTTTAGTTAGATTACTTAGTCTTGTATTATTAAGAAGAGAGATGTTAGATACGTTAAGTCACTAGGCAATGGATATAGCTGTGGAAGTTTAAGCATAGTGGGCGGTAGACAGAACGAAAAAAACAAAGACAATCAATATGTACGCAGCCATTGTTAGAGTAGTTTGTAAAATTGTTATTTTAATAATAATAATAATGTTTATTGCCTCAAAAAAATATAAACATCAAGACAAACGGATCAATTTATTGCAATAAGCGATATCTTCCAAGAGACCCAACTGGTAACAGTGTATATGTAATTTTAACTAAATAATTATGGCTACCGAAAAAGTAATACTAAATGATGTGCTAATAAAACTGAGCAAATGAGCATACTTGATTATGTTACGGATCGACAGTCAGTTACTACAAGACAGAAAATAGACACAAAAAAGTACAGCAAAAGATAGATGAAAGGCGGACTAGAGAAGAAAACAAACACGCAATGGTCAAGAAGAAGATTGTTGAAGAGATAGCAGATGGCGCCTCAAGGCATTTTTAAAACTTATTAAGCTAGCTGTATTGCGAATAATGGCAGGCAAATCGTTCCACAACGCAATCGACTGCACTGTAAAAGATCTGTGGTAGATTTCAGTACTATGGACTGGAAACATTAGCGTAGATTCGGACATTGATCGAGTGGGCAAGTCATGTGATGCTAGAATGTGAAAGGAATCAGACAAATAAGCAGGAGTGCGTGTATGGACAATTTTGTACAACATAATAAGCATACGAAATGATCTACGACTCCGGCAAGTCATCATCTGCAGGTTGTTACGATATGGAGTAATGTGTTGAAACCTTCCTAAATCAAAAATGTACCGTATACAATTGTTCTGCAGTCTTTCCAATTTACCCCGAAGGGCTGCGGAAAGATCAGGATTCGCAGCATCGGCATAATCAATGTGTGGGAAAATGAGAAAATAACAAAGATTACGACGGATAACAGGAGGAAGGTAGCAGCGAAGTTTTTTCAAAGTATGGAAACAGAAGTAAACTTGCCAAGCCTCAGTTGAAGGGTAGATAAGGAATTAAATTGTGCCAGCAAGGGGCGAGTGCCAAATGCAATGGCTTGCGTTTTACCTGGATTCAGGTTAAGGAGTGCGGGTATGGACAATTTTGTACAACATAATAAGCATACGAAATGATCTACGACTCCGGCAAGTCATCATCTGCAGGTTGTTACGATATGGAGTAATGTGCTGAAACCTTCCTAAATCAAAAATGTACTGGATACAATTGTTCTGCAGTCTTTCCAATTTACCCCGAAGGGCTGCGGAAAGATCAGGATTCGCAGCATCGGTATAATCAATGTGTGGGAAAATGAGAGAATAACAAAGATTACGACGGATAACAGGAGAAAGGTAGCAGCGAAGTTTTTTCAAAGTATGGAAACAGAAGTAAACTCTCCTACAGACTCCCTGAACTTGTGGCCGCCAAGACATCGCCGAATCCATTACCACACCAAAATTTTTGACCGTATTAGAAAACGGAATAACGGTGTCGCCAAGCCTCAGTTGAAGGGTAGATAAGGAATTACATTGTGCCAGCAAGGGGCTAGTGCAAGTGGCTAGTTACCTGGATTCAGGTTAAGTCCATGACGTCTAGACCTGTCAAGTACGCTAGAGAGATCGTTGTTAACAGTTGACGAAATATAAAGTTGAAGGTCATCTGCATACAAATGATAGTTACACGAGATACCATCACTAATCGTGTCTCCTGTTAATTTTTCAAGCTTTTATTTCCACCCGCGTGTGTGTTTTGATCTGGTGGGTTTAGTTTGCTTGCCGGCGTCGCGTTTGGTTAATTCCTTGCGGTTTATTTTATAACTTTTATATTAATTTTGTTATCGTCGAGCGGTGCTGGTCGGTCGCGCTGACCTTTGAACCCGGGAACAGGTATCGAACCCGTATCGATGTCGGGGTGTAAGGTTTGCTCCGGCCGCTTATCGTCGAAGAACCCGGTCTTCAGTGCGGCGGCTGCCACGGCAACTTCCACAGCAAATGCTTCAAAATTCCTTCCGACACCCTCGTTCAAATCAAAGCGGGCGACGTCTTTTGGAAATGCTCCAAATGCCGGAGTAACCTTGATAAATCCGTCATTATCGAGGATGGAACATCTGATCTCTCGTCCTCCAGCGGCGGCCCCAGTAATGCTCAACTGTTTCAGCTCATGTCTTCTATTCAGACATAGGTGAAGAAATTATCAAGCATGTACGATGAAATTATTAAATCCATCTCATTCTATGGGGATAAAATCACAGATTTTGGACGGACCCTAAATAAGTTTGGTGATAAAGTCAAACAAATCGACACAGTGGTCGCTGAGAACTTGAAACTCAGGGCAGACTTGGCCGTAACGGAAGGCCGTCTCGATCACCTGGAGCAATATTCACGCTTAAACAACTTAATTATTTCAGGAGTTCCCGAACGCGTGGGCGAAAACCTTCCTGATATTGTGTCCAGTATTGCTTCTGTTATTGAATCTCCCATTACACCTTCCGACATTGATGCCGTACATCGATTGCCTCAAAGAACATCTCTCAGAGCAGATAAACCGCATGCTAAGGCAATAATCGATAAATTTGTATCCAGAATGACACGGGACCGCATTTTTAGTGCGGCTAGATTGCGTCGTCGTGGAGTCAATGGTCGTGGTTTATCGGTTCCGGATGTCTCGGACAACTTATGTATAAACGAACACCTAACGGCTAATAACATGAACCTCTTCAACAGGGTGCGGGAAATGGCACGAGAGAAAAATTATAAGTACGTTTGGACGAAGAACTGTTTGATTCACGTAAGAAAAGATGACAGAGTTAAGGCTTTGGTAGTCAAATCCCTGTCAGACTTGAATAAATTGTAAAACCGGGCTCTTTATCGCATTGGTTTTCTTTGGGAGTATCACTTCACTATTCATGGGCCTTAGCTTCTACTACCAAAATGCGTTCCAAAACGAATACTACCTCAGTTAATTCTTATGCGCTATCGACGGATTTTATTTGTCTTACCGAGACCTTTCTTAACTCTACGATGTCCGACGGGGAACTTCTCAGCCCTTTATATATTGTACATATATTGTCGTGACAGAGAATCAACAGCGTCTACCAACCGAGATGGTGGAGGAGTCCTTGTCGCCGCCAAGAGAGGTCTTCACGTCGTTCCTATGCCGTGTCTCCACTGCGGTGCCAAAGACTTGTGGTTGAAAGTGTGTTGCGGTCAGTATCATTTTCTTTTGTGCTGTGTTTATCTCCCTCCTAACGCCGAGGAGCCACTTGATCTCTTCTTATCCAATCTATCTACTGTGCGCGATAAATATCCGGATATCATGATCATTATCGTGGGTGACTTTAATCAACCATCCATCACATGGACTTCATCTGATTCTGATGTTTTATTAGTGCCTACGGGAACCTTCGAGCGTCGCGCCGTCAATTACCGCCCTATTTCTATCCTTTCAGCTATCCCCAAGGTATTTGAAAAAATTATCCACGAATATCTTAATCTGTTTATTTCTCACTCTATAATCAATGAACAACATGGTTTTCTGTCTGGGCGATCGGTGGAGTCTAATCTGTTGTCTTATGTAAACTTTATTCATTCTGCTTTAAACGAGGATATTCAGATTGACGCAATCTACACCGATTACTCCAAAGCCTTCGACAAAATCGATCATACTATTCTTGTACAGAAACTTTTCTCCTTTGATATTCCAGATGGTCTTGTTCACTGGATTATGTCGTATTTATCTAACCGAAGTCAAGCAGTCAGGATTGGTAGCTTTATATCTGGCTACAAACCTATCACATGCGGTGTGCCTCAGGGCAGTAATCTTGGACCCTTACTATTCGTAATGTACATAAATGATATTTCTTCGTGTTTTATATTTTCTAAGATTCTACTCTATGCCGACGATAATAAAATATTCACAAGGATCGGGTCTAATCTGGACTGCCTTAGACTACAGGAGGATCTCGACCGCCTGCATGAGTACTGTCGCCTCAACAAACTTCACCTAAATTATGACAAATGCCAAAAAATTACATTTACTAGGAAACGTTATCCTCTTAACTTTCCTTACAACTTTAACGGTGCTGTTATCCCGTCCACGGATAAAGTAAAAGATCTTGGCATCATATTGGATTCCAAGTTGCGATTTCATCTTCATATTGAATTTATGGTGAAGAAAGCTCTACGTAATTTGGGGTTTGTTATCAGGGGCAGTAAGAATTTCACGAAGTTTTTGTGTATAAAAACCCTTTATTTGGCATTTGTCAACAGTGTGCTATGTTATGGTTCCGTAATATGGAACCCCATGTATGCGGTGTATCGTGGTCGTATTCAACGACGCTTTGTACGTTATTTGGCACATAAATTTCATCTTCCTTACTGCGATTACGATAGGCGTTGCGTGGTCTTCAACTTGTTGTCACTGCAGCAGCGTCAAATTGTTGCTGACTTGATCTTCCTCTTCAAGCTTGTTAATGGCATGCTGGATACCCCCGATCTTCTGCCTGAGTTGAGTTTCAATGTACCGCAACAGCTTACACGTTTCAACGCTACATTTCGTCTTGTTAGATCTAACACCAACCTTTATCAAAGCTCTCCATTAGTTCGAATTCTTAATTCCTATAACCAAGGCTTGAACCATGTACCTCTCTTTGACGTTTCGTTACGCTCTTTTAGAAAATATGTACTAACTAAAGTATAGCGGATGTTTTGTTGATCGCTTTATCGTTGTATTTATTTTAGTTTATATCACAATTTTTTTTTTATATTAATTTTCGTTATTATGAGGATGCTTTGTTGGGGATATTTTCCCCGTATGCATCCAGAAT